TAGATTAGATTACTCTTCGCAAATAGTTAAGGATGTGGGCTGTTCTAGTTTTAGAGAAATGCGAAGTTTAGCTCAGGATAGGAAAGAGTGGAGGTACGTGTCCAACCAGTCTAAGGACTGATGACCTTATGATGATGATGATGATCAATTTTCAATGTGGGTCATGGGAATTGGTATTAAACTCAAAAAAAAAATTGTGTTTGGATTTCATTTTGTTATCGTAAAATTTAGAAAATAATTGTATAGTGTCAATTTATGTCATATAGTACCTACCTCGAATTTATTATTATTTTCATTTATTTCTATTTAATATTTATTATACTCATTAGATAGTGGGAAAAATGAATATAAAATAGGATGACGTCAACGAAATTTTTATTTGTTATGATTTATATCATATCAACCGGGTTTTTAACAGATTTTGTACAAAGAAAATGAAATTTGTTGAAAAAGTGTCAAATGTTTTTCCTCATATTTTGGCTTGGGTTTTAATGGGTTAATAGAAGAAGAAAAAAACTAATGGATACCATAATTTCCAATATTTTTATTGTATTATAAATACAATACGTAATCCTCCACATACCACTAAATACATATCAATATTATGATCTCTACTTGGGGCAAAGTTTTTCTCACATAGCCTTAAAATCAATGATAATTCCGAAAATTAAAACTGTGAAGTCGAACAATAATGAAGCCAAACAGTATTACTGACAGTAATCTTAGTAACAGTTACTACTCATTCAAAAGAGTTAGTCAACCCTACCAATAGTGGAATAAAACAAGCTTTTCACTTCGGAAAAGTTTGTAACTAGCTAGATTTTGCCGAACAATAACGTAATGAAAAATCTACCGCAAAAAAAGTGTACGAGTCCAATTTTTTAGTTAACTTTAGTCATATTGATGTGTAGAACGACTAACGTAGATTAAGAGTAGCGTTGGAGCAGATTTCGGTGGATACTTGTCAGCATTTAGCCATTTATAGTACAATTATTTGCATGCTTCTTATGGCATAAAGTCAATTTCAGATTCCAGTTCAACATACTACACGTGTGTATGTAAATGTCTCTAGTCTAATTGTCGCACTGTATTGCGACTTTAACAATGCTAGCAAAAAATTAATCACTTCTAATTCTTTTAGACTTTTAAACTTTTAAATTACAATATACCGAACGTTCCCACAGGGCTCTCGTTCCAGTTGTGAACGATGTTGATCAACTTGTTTGTTAATAACTGCAAAAACGCACTCGACGACCGGAACGGGTTCTTGTGTGGTAGCTCGTCGTCGATCTTATTCTCTGTGGGAATAGCTTGAAGATGATAGTTATCTTCCACGATATAGGTTGGTTTGATGGTTTTCTGGATGGACGCAGCTTTGCTTTGGTTGGGTAGTTGGACAATGAATGAATGTTCGTCCCTTTTAAGAACTTTATAAGGGCCCTTGTAGTGGGATTTTAGGAACATCTCGTGAAATCAGGACATACACGTATGATTGGAGATATTTGTAGAGGAATGTTTCCTGTCCAGTGATGTGAGGTTGTCGAATTTCCGGTGCTAGAAATTTACCTGGTAGACGAAGTGGCTTACCAAACAACATGTCGGCAGCTGTTGCCTTAAAGCACTGTTGCCAACCTACTACAGGAAAAAATCCCATGCACAGGTCCAAAAAATCCCATATTTTCTCTAAAAATCCCTCCACGCGCAGGTCCAAAAAGTCCCATATTTTCTCTAAAAATCCCTCCAACTTATTACTATTATTATTTTTTAATTCGTTTATTCGAAGAAAAAATATACAATATTTTTGTAAACATGGACAACTTTTCGTGTCGATAGTATAATACCGATAATTTTATTGTATGTAGTTATCTCGTTTCCCAAAAATGCAGACAAAACCAGGCCTTGGGGGTTTAGATGTTTAGATGTTCGGATTTTGGAACAATACACCAATTCAAACATTTATTTTTATTAGTTTTAACATCTGTTTCTGATCTGTTGACTGGTCACTTTCAAGATGTTTGCTGAAGACCATACAATGATA